AATAGTCATATTAGGGATATTTAATTAATTTAAGCTAAACTAAATTTAGTTTTGAGCACACTACTACATGCACACAGAGGATTTGGCAAGTTTAATCCTTTGCTACCGATGTTCTACCATCTCTGTCCTTCTAAAGTTTACTTGAGCTGATTTAGCAAGTGTTGGTGGAGAGATCTGCTAGACCTCTTGTGATTTGTGCACTTATCACTGCATTGCTGAAACTGGCATTTTGGGGCATTTAAAGAGCCAGTGGGGTATAGGGGTTAAGGTGTTGGATTATGATTGGAAAGACCCAGATTCTAGTCCTCTCTTATGCATGGGGTCAGGTGAGTGAATTGGGGCCAGTCATTCTCTCTTGGCCCTAAATTGGGAAGTTAAAAACACCTATTTAACAACCCACACTGGACCAGCATGGTACATTATGGGCCATATCCTTCAGTTAAGGCCATCCTGCAGTGATTGATTCAACCTGACAGTAATAATAATAATAATTTTCTGGCACTTAGTTTGAAATCAACTAGAGTAACATAAAGACATCCCACAGTTATTCACTAATGTTGCCTTGCATTATTTTGTATATTCTCTAGTAAGACCTCCTACGAAATCCTCATAAGGATCCGTATGCCCTTCTCAGGCACACCCAGTGCAAGCTTTATTCACCAAAAGAACCTTTCAAATATCCTAATTCTGAACTCCAGGGGCAAACTGAAATTTGTGGATTTGATTTAATCCACTGCTTGACAACACTGGATGGAGAAAACAGGGAAGTACAACTGTCAAGGAAAAGACATATGAACTTGGTGTGCCCTCTTAATTGAGAAGCAGCGGCACGAGTGATGGCTTGATGTTTTCACTTGCTTCCATCATGTGGGTTATTGAATATTTATACTCCTTCATTCATGTAAATTGGTGACTTTTTCCATGAACGGTTAATACCCTCCAAGATGCCTTTGTTGCAATGAAATATATTAACACTAGCAAAGAAAAGACGGGGCAGATGTCAATGAAGAGACATTTTGAAAACAAAGATTTTAAATGCGATTGCCTATTTAATTGTTAAAACAGTTAAATATTCTCAGATTATTACACTGGGACTTCTCTCACTGAAATTGTCTCTTGTTGCCTTGCATTATTTTGTATATTCTCTAGTAAGACCTCCTACGAAATCCTCATAAGGATCCGTATGCCCTTCTCAGGCACACCCAGTACAAGCTCCATGATGTTCTAAAATCAGGCAAAGTTAGTATATCAGCAAAAGCATTCCTTTGTGCAATTATCTCAAACTATCAAATCTGTGTCTGTATACATCTAAGATGATTTAGCAGAATTTTCAAGCAGAAACACGAAGAAAGGAAAAGAATGAAGAATTCTGTGTAAATATTTACACCATGGTTTAAATGTATCTGAACAGAACAGTAATAGCTAAAATCATTTAAAAGGAAATAAGATGTCACGTTCTATTATCTTCTTGTGTGGAGTGGCTGATGTTCAGCTTCAGAGAACAATAAAACAAAATCAGATTGCTTCCTTTTCTATCAAGAATTATTTTGGCTTTTTGTGGGGCAGAGGAAGGTCTTTTCTATTCTCACAAGAAAAAGAGATGAAATCTGGTTATAACATATGCCAGCTTTTACAATCCAGCACACTCCAGATGTGTGGGGCTTCAACTCCTAAAATCCTGGTGGCCACACTGGATAGCAGGAGTTGAAGTCCAATGCATCTGGGGAAAAACCGGGTTAAGAAGAAAAAACAAAACTAAGAAAATAATGAGTCAGGCAAATTGTTTATGATACAAACCTACCTGCCGATAAGAGATGGGGACAGGCATTCGAAAAACAATCCATTCCACAATTTCGCTACATGGAGGGGTAGTCAATGACCCTGCATACCGATAGTAACTTCCCAAAGATGCTGGCAGGAGATCCCTTAACACAAAGGGATCCAAGAAGGTCTCTTTCTCTGTAAAATAAAATATTTTAAAACCCATAAAAATAAAAGAGAAAGGGATGGACATTGCAAGAGTGGTCAATATCTTTTTTATGAGATCCAATACATCTGTTTCCTGCTAGTTAAAGGTGGATCTTTAATTTTATATAGGAAAAGCAAGCACCCATGGTTATTTGCAATCCCTACCTTTTTCTGAGGTTCTTATGAAGTGAGCATATCAAAATGTTTCCTCAGAAGATCGTGAGTGAACCTTCCCTAACAATCTGCAGTATTCTGCATTGATATCAATATCTCATTAAGCTTATAGCCTCTTCATCCAATAAGGTGGGTAATGAGCAATCCCGTGTTATATATAAGGAGCGGGTAGCATTGTAATTTGTTAATAAAACTCAGTGGTTTTTAGAATGAGCACAGATTTGATTTCAGATCCGCACCCTCATGATCCCACTGGCATTCCCACTCACAGAATCTAGAGCTAATATTAATGTATTTGTAATACACTGAACATGCAAAGCAGGTTACAATGATGAATTGATTCAGCGTCAGAAGTAAGACTCAGAGACCATAGCCACAAATCCATACTATGCTGGTATTCGAATCAGGTCTTTCAGAGGTCAAATCTTTTATCAACCAGACTAACAGTTAAAACTTGTGACAAATATGATTTATATTATGCAGAGCTGGGAAGAGCTGTTTGTTCAGCTGTGGAACAGTACTTCCATACCTCCTATCAGAGGTCCAAGCCAATGGCGTATTTCAAGAGCATGCAATTAGTGTAATATATTCTGTCTTAACAAATTCTGATACATTACACTTATTTAACAGTCTTACTGTTCTGATGCAAGCTTGCAGTTTCAGGCAAAGCATTTCAAATGTGACAAGTATCAACAAGCCCTTTAAAACTGTTGATACCCACACATAAATCTTTCAGCAATTCTGTCAGTGCGCTTTCAAACATTTCTTACAGTTGAAAAAATTAGGAACTGCTATAACGTTTGAATAGTATGTAGCCCATAAAACTGCCTCAACATCATGTATAGCCCATGAGACATTGGGTTATCCAATGTTCATTTTGAAAACAAGGGTATTATGTTTACTTTTCTTTCACTAATTGTGGTAAAGAACATATCACCCCTATCTGAATTGCAAAGCATTCTGAAGGTCCTTAAAACCCAATACATTTTTCCTTTGTCCTAACCATCCAATGTACCCAAACAAGTCAACAAAGGTGCATGGGATGTGCTTATGGATACTTGGACTAAAAGTGAGTGGAAATATCTGAATGGTTTTATCTGGAATTTGGAAGCTATTCATTTATTATGTATTATTTAGAATGCTTTTATGCCATTTCCAGCCATCTTACAGCAAAAGGAACAATATATAACACTGCAATAATTAACATTTATCAACATTATCGAACAATACCATCAACAGATGTTCACTACACGCACACACATGCACACACCCACCCACACACCATAATGCCTTGTAACACCAAAGCACCCAATTCATCCTCAGGTTATGACCATTTGTTCAGCAACCATTCAAAGTTATGACAACGCTGAATGAATGATATTTATGACTGGTCCTCAGAGTTCCAGCCGTTGCAAAGTCCTGGAGGTCACATGATCAGGATTTCTGACATACCCTGCTGGCTTTCCACAAGCAAAGTCAATGGAGAAGCCAGCAAGAACTCAGAAGTTGAGATCACATGAGGTACTCATTTAATGAGCTATGTGGACCTTCGGTTACAATGGCAACTGGGACTGCCGGAATTGCTGTCGCTAAGTGATGTGGTCATATGACATTGTGCTTTATGACCACATTACTTAGCAACAGAAATTCTGGTCTCAATTGCCGTCATAACCCAAGGACTACCTGTAATGAAAAAGCCATGTCTGAAAACCAAACAGCAATCCAGGACTGGCATGAGGGGATAGATGTCTTGGGAGTAATCCTATAGACAAACCCTGTCACCTATCTATTCCAGTGGTCAATTAGGGTCCCTGAGGAAGTACCCTCCAAGTTGCTGTTAGATCCATCGAACATCTGGGGCAGGCTAATCTAATTGATCCCATTATCCCACAGAGAAATGTGGCACCAGTCAACCCCGCAATCACTAGAAGTGATCTATCCATGACAAAGGCATGGTTCTTACTAGACAACCCATGACCTGTTAGGTGATAGTTTCAGAGATATTTCCTTATCTAAACAAAGAAACAGAATGACCAAGGGCAAAAAGGCAGTAGGAGTGTCAATGACTTAT